CTTCTACTTCTACTACTTTTACTTCTACTTCTACTTCTACTTCTACTTCTACTTCTACTTCTACTTACTACTACTGCGACTACTACTCCTACTCTTACTCCTACTCCTACTACTACTACTCCTACTACTACTACTACTACTCCTGCTGCTGCTGCTACCACCACCTCCACCTAGCCACTCGGCACCAGCTACTCAGGCGTTCCTTCCTGCCAGCCTCTCAGGCTTTTCTTCCAATCAGCCACTCAACCACTCAGACTTTTCTTCCAATCAGCCACTCAACCACTCAGACTTTTCTTCCTGTCAGCCACTCAGCCACTCAAGATCCTGAGTGGCTGAGTGGCTGACAAGAAGAAAATCCACTCAAGATCCTGAGTGGCTGATCGGCTGACAGGAAGAAATGTCTGAGTGGCTGAGTGGCTGACAGGAAGAAAAGCCTGAGTGGCTGAGTGGCCGCCGTGAACCGCGACCCGGATTGTTCATACGCTCATTTTTGGCCCAATGAAGATGCAAGTATATATTGTATACAAATGCAGAGCGCGAGAGAGAGAGAGAGAGAGAGAGAGAGAGCGAGAGAGAGAGAGAGAGAGAGAGAAAGAGAGAGCGCGAGAGAGAGGGGGCGAGCCGATACAACTTGGAGACAGGAATTGCGATGGGTGAACTCCAAGAATTCCTTTCCGACATGTTTTTTAATGCCTCTGCTTTCTCCAGGTCGATACCCACGAGTTTCGGTCCTTACTGGCAGATCTTCAGGAGTATCGCCAGGCCTTCGCTGCGAAAGGGTAGGGGTGAAATCAGCTGATCTCGGCCGGGAAGGGATGCCGGGCAGAGCAGCTCACAAAGTCCTAAATGTGACACAATCATTGTGTTCTAAACAGGGCCGGCTGAAGAATCCATGTCAAAGAAGGACATGCAAAAACACATAATGGAAGTGGAAAACGGCCCTTTGGATGACCAGTTTCCTCTACAAACAGATGGTCTTCCGCTATTCCACTTCCATGTCAATGACTCGGAGAGCTCCACTCATCTCCATTCCCAAACTAAGTGATGCTGGCAAACCAGGGGCATGTATTTGATCTTATTTGATCGTTATTTGCTCTAGTCTTGGAACCCTGTGGTAGTCAGAATCCATCAATGAAGATGATTGACATTCCAGCACCATTTGTTTGGGTTGCCTCGTGGACTACGACACATCTAAAGCTGACATGATCGAATTGTGAGGAAATGTTGGACTTCGCCACCCGGACCACCTGGACTTCCTTTGTGGCAAACTCGTGCTTTGACGACTTGGCAAATTCACCAATGAAACTGTGTGTGTGGCAGGTGGCCTTAGGCTTGGTGGCCCAGCATTTGCATCGCAGCTTCCACCAGAAGAAGATCCTTTGTGCCGCGGCGAGCGCCATTGGGCGCTCTGAAGAGCCAGGGGGAAGATAGATGAAAGACCCAGTGGTTGCATTCCTGATTTCAAGACTTCACACCAGTTCCTTAGTTCACTTAAATGGTTCATCTGGCTTGGGCTATGAGATGATCGAACCAGAGCCAGTTTGACAGGCATGCAGGGGGAAGCAGATGGAAGATAGACTAGGATCCGATGGAAGATCAGCCGCAAAGAACTTCTGGGTCAGTGTTGACTACATCCGACTCACGCCCCCAAGCCATTACTTCATTTTCGACCCATGGGCCCTGGGTGGGAAGACCTGGGCCCTGAAGCCTGTGGGCAGAGACCCTCCGATCCGGGCAGATCCGTCGAGGCAAAGCATTTTGGGAGCCCTCTGCGATCCGTCAAGCGTTTGGCAGCGACGCCAGCTTACCACCAGAAGCGCGAGTCATTCAGCCGGCCATTGTGCAGGCACCTTCTGTTCGGGTTCAGCGTTCCGCACGGGTGGAGGCGACACCTTCCTGCAATCCTCAGGATTTCTTCCGTAGAAGAGGTTGACGGCAGTGGATCGAACATGTGCAGCCAAACAGGTCACCCGCATGGTGGACATATTATGAGTTATATTGAGTTATTATGACCACTTCTGGCAGCCATCAAAAACCTGGCGGTGCAAAGCGCGCCACGTCACGCACGATCTGTTGAGTCACGCAGGGCCTCCGCTGGAGGATCAGTGGCTCAGCAGTGAAGGCAGAGATGCAGAGACAAGGCAGGAGAGTTGGTGATACAACCACTGATTTTCAAGAGTATTTGGGTGTGAGAATGGGAGATTTGGGGTTTCAAGTCGTTGTTTTTCTAGAGATGGGGCACTTGGCAGTTAATCCATGATAGGCTTCAGGACTTTAACTTGCAAACAAGGTTTCATACCCTACTATAGTTCGGAGCGAGCATCGTAGCAAACAGTATGATGGTTTCGGGTTGTATGAGATTGAACACACAAAGGGCAATAGTTTGGGTCTGTCCTACTTATATACCGGTAACTGTCAGTAAACAATTACCACCATTTTTGAACAAGGCCTTTACCAACCATCATCATCCACTGTTACAGGTAAAAGGATAGACGCAAACAATCCTTTAGATGTTGCAATTGATGAGTGAGCCATGCCCTCACAGACACCGCTCATGGTCCTTCCTTTTGATTGAGATACAGCCTTAGCCTCAAAGCTGCTTCTTTGAGGCTAAGGCCACCTGACCCGTGCAGCACTCCAAATTTGCTCATAAGTTGCTTGCCAGCTTTGCCTAGATGTTAGGGGCTTGGCGTCTCGAACGACGCAGAGAGGAACCAGGAGGAACCACTCCTTCCGGTGGAAAGCTGCAGAATGCAGGCAACAAGTGGTTTTTAGTGCAACTAAGTATGCAGATGACCCTCTAAGGGGTGTCTATTTGTAGGCCCTTCGCTGTTAAGGGGTGTCCATCAACCACCCCTTGGGGGCGGGGTCCTGGTACATGGTTATATACTTAGATACCTTCCGCTCAGATATGTTCAGCAATTCATACAGCACGTCCAGATTGGGAAGGTTGCTCACCTGTGCCAACCTCTGGCATCCGTTGACCAGACACGAGGCGACTCGGTCGTTCACCAGACACGGAGGACGGTCGGTTCACGACGTGCGACGCGGGTCGTTGACCAACGGTTGACTGACGAGTTATTCGGCCAGGCATGAGTCGTTACGCCGTTACGCGGTCGGCCAGGCGTGAGCAAGGTGGACTTCAGCTTTTGCTTAAATTGGCATTCCCACGAGTTCGAGAGTGCCCCTTTGATCTTGAGTGGGGGCGGACTTCCAAAGCCGGTGTCCTGTCCTCCCAAAGGCTCTTTTGGTGCAAGGATTTCGAGGAAGGGGCACTGGTTGGTTCGAATGAGGGCCTGGCTTTTTGGCTCTTAGTGCGATAATAGCTCCTTCAAGAGGTACACCACGGCTAACTCAACATTTGTCCGCAGTGGAGGTGAATGCTTGACGGTCAGTTTGGTTTACATGAAGTATCGTCAAATTTAGTTAGCTTAGTTTGCTTCCAGTAGTTTGAGCATTTAGGCTCGAAAATGGTGCTGTGTTTTCCCATTCGGACCGAATGGAGCCTACCAGCCCTTGACGACTGGTCCGGAGAAGAATATCTCAGGGTGAATGATGATGGATGAGGACATATGATGACAATGGATATATATATATATACCCGGCAGATATATATATATATATGCTGTATATATATATATATATGTTGAATTTATACATATATCATAGTTTTTTGTTCGACGTGCAAATATTTGGTCCTAGTGAAGGTGGAAATTGATGACATGCGCGCTGCCTCTCGTGTCACTGTGGTTTTAGGGGAAGTGTCATGTTTCTTCACCAGCAGCTAGACTTCGGAATAATTAATCATGCAGAATCTATCGCATGATATTGCATGCCATCCCCCAAAGCACAAATACATCACACATCCCCTACTTTGGTCAACCTGGCACCATCCTTTGCCACTGATCAGCTTGGGAGCTGATCGTTCTCGCCCGGAAGTGCCGAGCTCAGGATGGTCCCTTGATGCAAGGCATTACCGACCAGGGAGCGCCGAGCTTTGATGGGGACTTGCTGTCTTTGACGCTTGGAGATGCCGCAGAAGGCACATGTGCAGATTCCGTGGTGTGCGATCACCATGCGTGTGGTTGATGTGTTTGTTTGTCGCACCCTGGAGCCTGGATTCTACTCTTAGTGCGATCACTTGGCCTCCAGTGCAGACACAATTATTCGAGAACGGATTGGACGTGAAGAGGCAGAATCTGATGGATTAACATTTGGTTTCATTGGTCTACCAGGCTACCACCCTCAATGGGTCTATGTAGTTTTTTTTTGCTTCAACACTTGTTGGGGGCCACAAGTGTCGCTCACAGGCACCCCATCCAACGACTGGTCAAGACCAGCGACGCGATGTATTTGAGGAATGCCTTAGTGCACTTCATTGTCTTGGAGAAATTGGACTTGATCAGCAATGAGGAGAAGTTGCTTCATTTCGAGCCACTGAAGAGAGACCCCATAAGAAGGTTCAAGACCTTCTGGACATGTCTTTGTTGGCCTCGCCTTTGCCAACTGGCAAAACTCTTGGAGATGGCGATGGGTGGAGGGCGGGGGAGAGAGAGAGAGAGAGAGTGAGTGTGTGTTTGTGTGCGGCATGTTGGATGATGTTTTTTTGACTTGCTTGCTTGGAATTTGGGAGTCAACCTGCAGAAGATGCGCTAGACTGGTTCGACCAGATTGGTTTGGGATGAAGGCTTGGGCAGGCTTGGTGATTCTTTCTGAGGGCCTTCGGGACTGAAGACTGGGGCCCACAATGGCCGTAGATCTTGTAGCAAGACTCTGCGGATATGCACATAAAGCTATATATGACCTGGATCTTCAAATACTCGATTTTTGCCGGGGAAATTGTTGAGTGAAAAGACGCCGTAATCCAAAAAACGTGCAGTTTTGGAGGTTGCAAACATGTGCTCAATATCCACGGACGGGGAAAGACGCCGTTGGACGCCTAAAGATGCCGTTTTGAAGCCTAAAAACGCCGCTTCTTTGTTGTTTTTCCGGTTTCCGCTGGTCACAACCAAAAAAGCATGAACGTTGTCTTGGGAAAAAAGAAAAAAAACAAGATCCAGATATGTCATCATTTGGCCCAATGGTTGCAGGATGGCGGCGCTACCATGCTGAGCGACGTGCTGAGGAACACCCCGAGCGTCTTGACCGAGCCTTGCTTAACGGCGCTGGAACTGATGAAGCGTCTTGGATCCGTCATGATGTCCAGCTGCGTTCGAATGAGGCAATGAACCCCAACAGAGTCCAGATTGTCCGGTGAGTAGCCCCATTGGATCCAGTCAGTAGCTATTTCAGGAACCGCTGATTCCTGAAATGGAGGTTGCTACTGCTGCGCCCCAGGTTCCTTTGAGCTGACTGGGAGTCATCCAGAAAAAGATTTGCAGATTCCCCCTGTGTTTCACATTTTGACATCACATCGATGGCCTCCACCCTACTAGCCATGGCCTCCACCCTACTGGCGGCCTCCAACCTAGTAGCGATGGCCTCCTCCTTACAAGCGGTTGCTTGGTCGGTCGGCACCCGTCAGCGACCGAGGTTCGGGCAGCTGACGGGAGATCCTTTCGAGGTCGCAGAAAGCTCGAAACCCTTCCCACAGGAGATCAAGTCACCTGGTGCCATTGCGTGTGGCGGGTGTTGGGCCTAGGAAACGACTCGACTGCGCTAAGGTGAAAAGGACGGAGGTGCGTTTGAAGAAGTCTTCTGAATAGCTCTTGCCTAAAGGAGACGGAGGTAGGACGGTGCATTTGGCTTCATGGATAATCTTCATGGCTCGCGAGGCCATTTTGATATAACTCTGAAGGACAAGAGAACCTGTTCATAAGTTCTTTCTTGGTCACTCCGGCCACATGGGCCACATGAATGCCTTCAATTTGCCAACCACTCATCCGATGTGTCTAGACCTGTCTGGCGGACCTGGACCTCCCGTCGGCCGACGTGAGAGCTCAGGTATCCCAGCAGCAGCACACTGGCGGCGAGCGACAGAGATAAGGCAGCACCGAGGGGACCGGTGGGCATGAAAGTAGAGGGAGGGGACGATCCTGCAGTGAAGTGGACTGGGCGAGTTCTATGATGAGTCTGGTCAGTGAAAAGCTTGAGTTCTAACCGATTTGGGAACTGACGTGAAAGGGACTACCGCGGCTGCCTCAGATGGTGCCACGTGGATTTGGGGAGAGATGAGTGCGTGAGTGGGACCTGTGATGGGCGCCAGATACGGCGCCAGATGGTGAACAAGATGTGAACATGCCCCGTTTTCGCGGCCAAACCTGTAATTCCACCAAGTGTCTTACAATTGGATGTTTTCTGCATACTCTTCCAGGCAGAGTTCCTTGTTTCCGTAGCTCTTTGGAAACTTGAGATGCACCCGTCAACAACAAGTAAACAAGGATGCAGGCCGGGGATGATAACTTGCCATAACTTACCCGCCTGTTATCATCATTGTTGTCGAAAGCCGGCCAAGCATACACCAAGATTCTAGATTTGGTCCCAGTGATGCCCCTAGAATCAGATTGAGACATATTAAAACCAGCAACTTCAAAGACACTCTATGTAGAGATGTTCAGGTAGACGAGAGGAAGGCCATGTGCTCAAATGCGTTCAAATTGAAAGGGGTATATACTCCCTAGGGCTCCAAGTACCTCTAAACCCACCCCCAACACCTTCTTAGAAGGTACTGTATTGATTGTGTTGTTCCTCGGCTGGTCATGTCGTCTTAGTGGCACAGGTTTGTGGCACGCTCTTGCTGTGTCGCGTGATGTCACTGGTGCCAATGCGCCTCAAGTGCCTGGGAGACAAAACGATCTTGGAAAGAAGCACCAAACTGATACACATGGTGACTTGTTGGGAATGACTCGGGTGAAACCTAGGGTAGACTGCATCAAACAACAGTAAGTTGAAGGTATTTAAGGATCAAGAAACGCTTGTTCATAGACAAAATCTTTGTTACTGTATCACGACTATCATTTGTACCGGTCAGATCAGAAATGCCATGGAATGCCATCTGACTGTATAGCTATGGCTATAGCCGTTATATACAGAGAAAACCGTTTTGCCCTGGTTCGGCACCACACTGTTTATGAAGGACCTCTTGAGGGCTCGGTGGGGCGGGGGCGAGGGTTCGGGGTGAGCGCCCAGGCCAGTTTGAGGGTTCGGTCTCGCCACGGTGAGACGAAGAAGAGTTCTTCTTAGTAGTGGTAATCCAAGCAATGCAACTGTAGTTTTGCAATGTGTTGCCAACTGCATGTGATTTTGGTGATGTGCGTTTGATGGTTTTTGTCAACTCTTGTTGCTTTTTGCCGTTGGGCACCATTTCTTCCTGTGACTTTTTCAGGAACGTCATGTGGGACAGCGATGTGGACTTCGATTTGGCCGCCTTCCATGCACTAGCACCTTGGAGCTTTGCACCAGGTGAGAACCTGGCGAGGTGTCCCGCTTTCTCAGGATCCCACCTAAGGGACCCACTGGTTGGAGGAACGACCTAGTCTTTCAGGGCACCACACCTGCCGGAAGAGGGTCCAAGTACCTTCTGAGAAGGGTCAGGCACTTGGATCTCTAGGGGTGATCCCTTGCTGACCCGCCCTTTAGACCCATGTGCTTGTGCCAGCCATCTACGAGTGGCCCTGGTGCGTATAATTAATCGATATAATGTTCAGTTTTACAGCAAATGATGGATGAGGCAAGTTTCGAAACCAGCACTTTAGGATGACATTGACAACACCTGAATCATAGCGAGACTGATCACCAAATCAGTCCCATTTCTTCTGATTGCGCTTCGCCAGACTCTTTGAGACACAGTATCAAGTCACAAATCTCGCGACAAATGACAAATGGTTCATTTTTAGCATAGCCGTCCCCCAGACAAACCATAAGAATTGAATGATCATCGGCAACCCGAAGGCAGTTTCATTCGTTCCATTCCACTTATATAAGTCCTTTTTTGACTTCAACCGGGTGTGCCTACTCATCCTACTCTCCAAACAATGGGTCGAACGATGTCCAAATGTCCGGCTCTGCCGCGGAGGTCCGTGCCTTGAAACGGACCCTGCGGCAATTGGTCGAGGGGGCCCTCGCCCACGTCCTGCTGCCGGACGGGTGACGCAACGGCGCCGGCGCCACCGTCGGACGAAGCGTTCGGGGGCGCCTTGCGAAGCGTCGCTTCGGGCGACAGGACTTGCAAAGAGTGAAGATTCTGCCGAAGGGCTTCATGTCCGCCACGCCCTTGAAGGACCTTCCGAGGGAACATGAAGCCTTCCGCGGTTGACTCCGAGATGATGCCGAGGCATTTGACTTGGTAGCACCGATGTAGGAAAACCCAGGACTGGGCATGTCAAAGGAGTCGTTTGGCTTGCAACGGCCAGCAGCCACGGCAGGCAGCCACGGCAGTTCAGGGTCACCGCTGTTGAAAATCCAGGACAGCTATCCCAACACTCCCGCAGAGTTGCCCACCTTCATGCTACCCAGGGCGTCTCTCGGCGACCAAAGCCGGCTCTGGTGCGAGTCATTTGGGCCCTGCTTTGGACCGCGTAGGACTTTGCATGGGGTCCAGGGACATGACGATGGACTTGGGGGACATCATGGGATCTTTGAACAACATCAACTCGGATCTTCATGGGATCTTTTGCTTCAACACCGCAACACATTTGGGGTTTGCGATCTGACATGTCCGGCGGATGTTGAACGTCTCGGGACAGTTCGTTCTTCCATGTTCGTCGGGTTTGGAACGCACGGGTGGTAGCGTCGTTCAGAGCCAGGCCATAGGGCCTAGCCACAAAGGGATTCGTTTGTATTCGTTTGGATTCATGCTTGCACTTGTTGTGGGAGTTGTTTCCCCTGAACCCATACAAACATGCGACAACAAGTTTCAGCATGTTTCAGCAATTTCATGTTGGAATCTTATGGTTTGGGTTGACCTGAGGAGTTTTGACGTCAACATGTAAAGAACGTGTGGACGAACTTGTGGACTCTTTGGCTCACCCTGCTCTTTTCGCCTCAAGGTGCATGGGTATTCTGGTGCGATATTTCTTGGAGTACCAGGCCGGGCACGGGCGAGTTCAACCTGGGGTTTCTGGTCAGAGTTCCGCACAGGCGGAGCTTCACCAGAGGTGACTAGCGGCTATGAAATTGTTCGCTTAATTTTCAGATTGATAGGATGAGTTAGGAAGGACTGAAGGACTATGTCTTTCTGAGACACCCATGAAACACTATGACTATGAATCTATGAGACATGTTATATATTTGCTTGTTAGGAGGCCAGGCCGTGACTGTCCCTCGACCCGGAGGGCCGACGACCTGTGCACAGGGGACCGCGGAGAGCTTCAAGACGGATGTGACGAAGCGCTTCCCGTGCTGCGCCCAAGCCATCGAGGAGATGGGGATGAGAGGTCGGGTAGATGGGTTTAGATGGGTTTCTCATGGCCAGGTTTGGATGCAACACATGCACTTGGATGATGTTTGAGAACATCCATGCATTTGTCCAAGCTTGGGTGGTGGATTTCCACTGTGCTCCTTAATTTCAATGCGCTTCGCCATCTCCCTTCAACCACTTGGATCAACCTCTTGCTGTGAGGACTTGCAGCTGGCCTTCACGTTTTGGCAAGATTTGAAGCGTTGCGTGGACACAGTGGCAGATCCTTTGGGTGCGGAAGACCTCTCCGAGGACGGGGGGCCCCCCATCCTTGGGGTCAGGGTATCCACGCCCCGTGGCCCTGGCTGGGTAGACTGGTCCATTTCCCGAACCTTCCAAGTGGTCGGGTTCCGCCTGCGGTTCGGTCTCCCGTTTAATAAACTATATGCAACCATCCAGCAATGTGATCATGGAAACCGACACACACACACACTCACACACAACACGACACGGACTCGCACGACACGCGTTTGGAGCGTTTTGAAATGTTTGCAGGAGTTACATCGGACTCAGCACCAGTAGAGCAGCGAGCAAACATGATGACTCATGATGGGCGGGAACTATTTGTTGGTTTCTGTGTGCAGAACTGCATTTGTCAAAGAACTTGGAATAACTTGACTTTCAACGCTGCAATACCATTTTGGGTGGTGATTTCAGATACTGTACTATTTTTCAACCTTTACTCAAGATTATTGATACCCATCAACCAGCATTGCATTCATCATATACCTGATGAGCCTATGCGACTTGAGCGTTTGTAGACAAACAGATGCAGACAGGCACCATCAAAAAAGAGTTCACCTTTCTGTGTGATGCAAAACCAGACTAGTTGACGACTCAAAAGGACAGCACGTGACGAAGAAGAAGAAGACGTGCTCGGGGGAGAAAACCCAGGTTTGGTGAGGCAGATCTATAGGTTGAAAGGATACAAACAAAGGCGTCCGTATCGGGGGCCGCGGGGCCATACATACCTAGAACCTGAGTGACTCCTGTTTTGGAGTCAAAACATGGTCTTTACCTATCAAAACAAAGGTCAGATGGGTTCTATATAGGTATCTATAGATATAGATATATAAGCTAATATAAGACATCCGTGTTTGAGATTGATTCGGTGCAAAACTGCACTCTTCACTCTTCGCCTCGGACTGACATACTGGCTGGACTCAGGACTGGACTCGACTCGTGTCACGGATCATTTGGATTCAACCTGCATGACGGAATGGGGTGGCAATCGAGAGAGAGCTAGCCGGTTGGATGCACCAGTCGCTAGGACATGCGCAAAGCCAGCGAGATCCTGCAGAGCCAGCGGCAGAAGTTGGGAATTTGAGCTCAGGTCGGACGTCCTGTGCTGTGTGGAAGCACCATGCGTTCTATATACATTTGCGGGTACAGTTCAACAGCTGCGTTTAACAGCTTTCTTTTGAGCGTCCAGATTCGGAGTCATGTGGGAGAGTTCCAAAAAAACGGTTTGCCATGCTGCTTGAGCTTGTGCCAGGCAGAATCTAGGAATCATACGCTCGCACTGCGAATTCGGCCATTGGGACTGAAGGTAGCCACCCCTGGCCCCTATCAGACTCTAGAGTAGCATTCAGCCTCACTAGGAACTCGAAGCATCCAACAGGTCCTCTTTTCTCATGACCAGCGCAGCAATCGCCACTGGTGTCCATCACGAACCTGAAACCCCCTTGTTGCAATGTTTCGTGCCTGTCGAGACAACCTCAGGTGGACGACTTCGGTGGGCAATGACGGGGTTGAGGATTGCCAAACGGCATTGATTGCAAAGCGATTAAGTTAAGTTTGGTCCGGAACCGTGATTACTAATATTAATATTGATATGATATACTCCGCCCTGAAAGTTTCTGGCGCAAGTCAGGGTTCCCGGGAGGGTTCCCGGATGCGCCATCAATGTATGTTTCCTCGCTATTTTGCACCTGTAGATGGCGCATTTACAGGGAGAAGGGGGGGCAAAAACGCAAACACAAGAACAAATGAGCTTGCAAAAACAAGTGAAACAACGCGCTATAGATGGCACAATGCACATCAGTGCCAAGCCATCCAAAGCAGTCCAAACCCCACTCAAGCACATCGGTGCCCATCCTACTCTGTTTTTTGCTCTTTCTCCTGCTTTTCCTTTCTCTTTCTTTTTCTCTTTCTAGCACTCACCTGCTCTGCACATCAACTCACTGTCAAGCAGATTGAAAAAATACTGTCGTAGAACTGCTTTGCGCCATCTATTGGCTCTTTGTTTTCAATTCTATTCCTATTTCTTCCTCGCACATGCTGTGAAGCCTATCCAGCCCCATCCAAGTCAAGACCATCCACACCTATTCAACCCCATACAAATCAGTGCAAAGCCATCTAATCCAGTCCAAACCCCACTCAATCCCATCGGCGCCCATCCTACTCTGTCTTTTACTCTTTCTCCTGCTTTTCCTTTCTCTTTGTCTTTCTTTCTTTGCACAAGAGATTCAGCTACTGTAGTTCTACTTTCTAACTGGAGTATATATAGATGGAGCGTGCAGTCAGGGGTCTCCGAGTACGAGGGTTTTTAGCCTAAATCTCATCTCGCCCTTTTTATACTGACGGGATGCCTACTGATAGCGCAATTCTACTGTGGTACTCTGGCGCTCGTAGATGGCGCATTTTTTTAAACCATCTATTTTCAGCCCGTGTAGATATAATAGTGGCCTCCCTCCGACTAACAGGGGAAGTCGAAAATTGTTGAGCAGGTCAGGGGGCAAAACTCCGGCCTTTATCAACAGAAATCAAGCAATAATAAGCACATCGTTTTCCTGGAACGGTTGACATGATTCCTCTCACCCGTCTTTTTTTGATCGAACAACATGTGCGCAAATTCCAAGTACCTGATTGTTAAGTTCCGAGTCTTAATATATGAATATTGACTTCTAGAATCCTGTTTGATGGTTTGGCCCCATAGCCAAGTCCAAGACTTATTTGAAACAAACATGAACGATTACTATACGATTTTGAGACACCATCCAATTCCAGCTGGTTGGATCCAGACACTTTTCCATGGTACATTTGGAGACGGCATGTGTGACATGCAGTCAAAGCCCTGCAGATCCTTAATGTGCGAGACAGCTTCTGGCAAGCGTTGATTTGCATATATATATATATATGTGCATCGAAGGAACCATGAGTCCATGAGTCCAGTGTTGTTTATGAAGCATGTAGGTGACCAAGATCCGTGTACAGCTTGCCAGCTGATGTCACGTCGAGAGTGGATTCTTGTGGTGGGGACGGCAGCAGAACCCTTCAATGGATTTGGATTTGGCCTTCCAGAGCTTGCACATCAACACAGAGGGTGAGTTACATGTTTAGGCCAGACACGTGCAATGGAAGTCCAACTCAGAGCTCGGCTTGTAGCTGCTTGCCCATTGCAAGACGTCGGGTGCAAGCACTGAAGACAAGTACAACATGGCAGCAGCACCCCCGCAACACATAATTAATCGGCAGTGTTGTGTGGTGCTTGGAATGTGGACTTTACTGTCAGATACACATATGTTTAAACTATTTATATTTCTGCAATATGATGTAACATGTATACACAGTGACCGCACTTGATTGAAGTCGCAGGCAAGGATTGAGACTTGACATTTGTGTAGTGGACATCCATTGTTGTGTGTACACATTGCATGTTTGACTGTGAGCCCTATTGGCACAAACGTGCACAATGCCCTTTGATTTTGGATGGCCAGCTTTCTACAATTCACATACACCATACATGTTTGCAGTGCCAAAGTCACGGGGGAAAACCTGACAACTATGGAGCCTCCCTACAGAGAACTGTACTGAAGCCAGACAGCAAGCAGCCAGCAGCTTCCGGCTTCCGTTTTGTGCTGCTGCTTCACAGGGAGCGGCTCACGATCGATACCAACATAAGCTACCCTGACTCACCCTAATCCCCCCCCGAGAGGACACGCATCCAACGATGTCCGCCCCTCATTGGACGACGCGCTTCTCCGCGGCAGATGTGAGACCGAATGACCGCAGAGCTTCGACGAGCTTCTGCCGACACGAGCGGAGCAGGGCGAAGAAAGGTCGACACCAGCAGGGCGGGTAGACACCACATGAAACTACTGTGAGTACCACTGTGACTGGCAACGAAGATCAACGAAGCAGAAGACCTTTTGCGGGGGAGCGATTTTCGCTGTTGGACAAGGTGGGTTTGGTGATTCTCGTGCATTCCTTCGAATGAGAGGAGGTTGTAGTGGACCACTGGAGGCTTAAGTACTGGACTGCCACTTGCTGGCTGGCGTCGTGAGCAATGCTAGAGCCCCAATAAGCAACTTCACTGGCGGTGGAGATTGAATAGCCACTTCTCACTACCTCCTGGGGCGTGAAGGTTACAACTTGACAACATGTGGCATGAGACAGCATCCCGCTTGCCATCGGCTCATTCGCAGCTTTACACAGATCGACTGGTTGAAGACCTCTGAAGCATGGCCGCAGAGGCCCAAGTCAAGTGTTGTCCTCATAGAGTCCAAGGTGGCTTAGAGATTAATCATGAATATATTGGGTGTGCATTTCAATAGGGAGACCCCCTGGCCGCTGGGTAGACTGGTTTGTCATTCTTCCGGGAACTGGGAGGTCTCCCTATGCGGGGATGGGTCATGGCACTTGCAGCACCAGGTCAACCTGTTGACCTATCTGGTGTGATGTACTCCCCTGCAGAGGTTGTAGAGGAAAATGGTCGAAACCACAGGACAATTCTTTGGTTCCATGTTAGTTTGCGGGAGAGCATCATTGATTTATATAATTGATGTATGATTTCAACGTTTGGCAGGGGTCCATCGTAGAACATTTCAGGGGTTCAACCAACTGCAAGTCAAGGTCACTGCAGTAAAGTCAAGTGCTATCGCGCATCCGTGATCTAGCTTCAGAACTTTATGCTCATTCAGTTGAGCCAAATATCGAAGTGTGTCCTTAAAACTACCATGTCTTACCATGGCTCCCAGCTTACAGACACTTACCACTTCACGGTTGATTCTGTCGAATCGAAACAGCCAACGAGTGAACACAGCAAAAATACGCTGCACCTGAAGTTCGGATAAGTTCGCTGCAAATGCGAATGGCTGTCCACACAGTGTCAATGCTACGCCTCAGTATGCTGGCCTGGACCGCTTTTGGTCGTTAAAAAACTAAAAAATCAGGAGATGATGTGCAATCGGTCAGCCCAGAAATGGTCGACTTGTTGGACCTTATAGTGTCGCACAAGAGATGAACGCCTGGCTGCACGCTCCTAACATAAATATGCCCGGGGTTGGGGGGGGGCCATCATTTTCGATTGTTTTCGACCGAGGATGTGCCCCCGATGCGCGTGCGACACCTTCAAACTCACTTGGCCGACCAGGGGCTGGTGAATTCCAGCAAGCTCAGCGAGCTGCTTGCCTTGATTTCAGCCTGGCTTTGTTTTCTAGCAATGGTGAACGCCGCCAAACATGGTCCGGACTATGTTCAATAAACGGGTTGCTTTCGGATGTAATTAGCCTGAGGCAGACCTTTTTGGGCTGTTTGATTGAAAGCTGACAAGAGTACAGATTGAGCTTCTCAAAGATCTAAAAGCGGGAAGTTTGGATGTGTGAGCGAAGCTTTGATTTGAGCGAAGCGCCAAAGCACATAGAACAGCAGAGTGGGAAGGATCATTAGCGCTTCTCTGTGACTCTGTGCGTGTCCAATCCTCCGAACTGATCCCTGATTCATGTCCAAACCGCCCCGTGCCGCACCACCCCTCACCTCCATTGCACCTGCGAACCCGGCAGTGCGAACCCCTTCGCCTTCATCCGGTTGGTGCCACGACGCCCGGCCGAGGCTGCGCAACACTTCCGTGGGCATCGATGCCGTGTTTTGGCTTCGATCCATTCAAGCCCTAAAGGCGAGATCCGGGAAGTTCAACGGTTGGGTTTTTTTGGAGGACAAAGAGGCAACAGGATCCCAGCTAGTACTTCTGGGAGTTGAGGATTGGGGAATGATTGGAGTGGGCATGAACTTTTGTTGTCGCGCCCATGTGCATCAATGTGTTATATTGTCATGAAGGCCTTTTTGGGGGGGAGGTCATGAAGGCAAACATTGTTTGCCGGTGTGTTTGTCACCTGTCTGACAGCAGTGCCAATCGTGGCAACGTTCGTCTTTGTGGTATGCCAGTCCTCAATGGTCCGCGGATGTTAGAGGAACTGGTCCCAACGGCCCAGCTGCTCGGATCCGGGAGTTCCATATGTTCCATGGCCCCCCCACTCCGCGGGCCTTGTCTGCCAGGATCCTTTTGCGGATGCCTTGGGAGGTATCCCACCGGGGATGTTTGGCTTTGTGGACAAGGAGTTGGATTCCTTCAAGGAGTTGCTCAGCGGAAGTCTTCACAAAGCAATCCTTGCATGCTTTTTTCGCGTCTTGTGGCAATTCTTAGTAACTGGAGAGATTGAGAGGCCATCGAACTGGTAACTCTTCACAGTGGTGAGACGGTCTCGTTCTGCTGACGGGCGTGAGGGACATGTTCAAAGCATTTCACACCCATATATAGTGTTCTCATTTGGTACTGTAATAAGCCCGTAAATACTGTGTTCATTTCAGTCATCAAACTCAGTGTCACGTTTTGCTTTGAAACGGACTTTGGGGTGTGCCATTTCTTGAGGCTGGAGAGGCTGGAGGTTCAATCACCAGTGGGTCGTTGGTGCCGGAGACTGAAGGTGTTCTCAACGAATCCAACTCCAAAAGCTGCGGAGGCTTTGAACGTCCAAAGAAGTCAATGCACCTCAATGGTTCACACAGTCCCAGGTTCGTCACGATGGATGGGTCGGATTGGTTCAATATGGTTCAATTGGTTCTGATCGATTGCAGAGTTCGCACCTTCTTGCAATTGCAACCTCTTCAGCGTTGGTGTTTGTTTAAGTCCTGGGCCTCTAAACATGCATGTCTTGGAGTGGGTTCACTACAAACGCTAAGGCCTTTCAGATGATTCCGATCTTGGTGCTATCTCACCACATGCTTTCAACATGTTTCAACACAACTCTTTTCCCACTAAAACCCACCCTCCTCAAACCAACAAAACAATCCCAACAAAACCGGGTGTTTCAGTCCATCGGAACCCCCCCAAAAAAAGAACAAAACAACCAGCTCCCGTGGCCCGGGTTCCAAGGTGGGGCATCACTCCATTCTTCATCTTTCAGGGCGTCGCTCCAGGACGGTGGAACGGTGGAATGGCCGTCCGCGTCCGTCGTGATGGATCCAAAAGGCGAGAGTCTCGGTGGAATGGTCCCGGTCCTGTTTGGGAGGCATTCGCCTCATGGGTCAACCAGCTGGTGCAGTTACCATCTTGGCTCTTGGGGCCGAAACTGTAGGGTTCGAACGGTTTTTCACGGTCTTGTTTGGGGAAGAACTATGGAACTCACGACTGTTGGAATCTGAGGGAGATGGTTCTGATATGTTCTGATTTAATCACACCATACTTGCTCCAGATCGATGCAGAGTGGCCCTCCCCCACTGGAAGCAAGCTGAATAGCCCTGCAGTTTCAATTTGTTGTGGTGTTCTGTTACCAGTTAGCTTGTGCTAAGAATGATATACTTGACTCACAGATCCAACCCCTTCAGACCCTTGAGTGATATGTGAGGATGTACTAACTTCAGCAATTGTTTCGTGGTCCAATTGTCCCATTCAACGATGGAAGCGGAACCCGAAAGAGTCGATGTGCAACGTCCTTTCGACTCGTCATGATCGAAGCATGTAACTGGCGTGCGGCAACGCGACGGCCGCGACAGGACCTCAGCACTCCATGTTCGCCAACCGGATGGATGCACAGATGCTTGGTGGGTTTGAGTTGTTGCTATGGTGGCCCGCTGATTGGCAGAACCGGCTCGGTGTTCTTTGATTGAACATCTCGGGTGTTCAGTGCTCCGTTTGCAACGAGGTAATGCAGGGCCGAGTCTTTTTACAGCTGTGGACGGCATGTCTGAAGCTTAGGGTCTTATATGATTATACATAGGGTCATACAAATCACTTGGAATCCGGACGAATTGGGACAAATCCGCTTCCCCGTTTCCGCTGCAAGAAATCCTCGTTCCTCGCGTAAGAGGTGGGTCCCAAGGCTCTTTAAGAGCTGGAGAGAATGAACCGACGGATGGCGTTGCTTACGGCGGATGCTGATTCCGCCAATGCAAACCTGCAGATATTGCGAGAAGCCAGGATGGTTGATTTGGGAGGCTTGACCAGATCTTCAACATGGTTCAACATCATCAACCCATTTCATACACACTTGTATCCTTTGGAAGATCTTGGAAGATGCACAGTTGAAGAAACGATTGATCAGCTGGAGTCCTAGAGCCTGTGGTACAACCCAGCCCAACATGAAAAGACCATCCACAGCAGCTCCCGCACCAGCAGCTTCCGTGCTCGGTCCACAGCTTCTCAGCTCCCGCTTGACGTCCGCGCTCACCGCATCGACTGTGGCGGCTGGTTGACGGCCGTGGAGTGTGTTTGGAACTGCATCCAGACCAAGAACCCTACAGTCAAAACGAATCAAATCCCATAACCGAGGCAAAGCCCATACTTTGTGCAGGGAATGGTTGAGGGCATCCTCAACCATTTCTCATGAGTGGCCCGCCCTGCCTCCTGTTACAGTATAGAGATCATTACGGTCCTCATGTCCTGACAAGCCTCCGACATCCTTGGTGATGGATTGCCATCACGTTAGGAACCAAAAGGGGCGACCTCTGGATATTCATAGACATTTGAGATCATTTGAGGGGTATCACCTACTCCGGCCCACCGTCACATGGCCACACCTTGAGCTCGCGTTCTGAGGATGGACATGGCCTGGAACCACTTGTCACGTGGAGAGAAGTCGGCGGCGCAGAAATGCTTTGCGGTCAGGGGAGCCCAGCGGCAGTGACCGGACGAGCCGAGCCGAGCCATTGTTTTTTTTGGATTCGGACCAGGATGCCAGTTGGAAAATGGCTGCCATTGGGCGAACAAAGCGCAGCCCACGACATGTGGATTTTCCAATAGATATATTATGATATTTTATAATTCATAATTAATATATTGTATACTATTGTGGTATGTGTATATATATATATGGGCCATAGGGTTTTCTATTTGCTTGAGTCAGGTCTACAAACTTTCCCAAGTCCTTGGTCATTTCGCAGACATGTCAAGCACTGGACCTTCATTGATTTTTCTGGGAGTTGCCCAGTTCTTGACGTGGACTCCCAACTCAGTCCAACATTTTGAGGCTCCCAACTCAGGAAAAATCGTGCAAAAAGAAGCATGAAAGAAACATGGACTTACCTGGACCATCCATAATGGGTGTCCAATGGAGATCCCCAAGAAGTGTAGGGTAGAGTAGTCCATTGGACACCCAGACAGGATGGTCCTGGTATGTACTTTATTTTTTTAATCCGAGGCTTGCAGAACTTTTTTGGACCCATCAAGTCGGTCACAGAGAGTGGTGTCGTTATCGGGTATGTCTTTGCACTATGTAGCTGAGGCTCCAGTGAGCTGAGGAAGTAATTTGAGGCCAAGGACGACCTGCTGCAACATCTCTTTGCCCAACAAGCCGAACCCCCAAATAGATAGAAGATTCAGACCTGATGGATCATGTTCCAACACCACCAATGCAAAGTCTTCCGCTGAAGCCTTCCGGTGGGAATGGGGGAAGACAGGTTTTTGTGGCCAACCAGACCAACGAAGGTCCTGTTTTGGACCGGTCTCAAGCAACCCGACGAGGTCTCAACCAGCCGAATCAATGGGGACTTTGTCTATTTCATTTTCCATCACCTGTGGCTTGGCGGGAGTTCCAGAGTTCGCATCACGCCCACCAGGTGGTGGACACCTTGGAAGGAGTTTTTCGATCTCAAGGCTCACACTTAGAAGAGAGCTCGCAAGAGCACAGGTTCAGAAGCTGGATCGACGAACTCATTACAGAGCCCTTGAGTGCATTATCCCTTGACTGCAGAAACAACGTATGAGACAGCGGTAAGCTCTACTTAGAATCACAGGGTAGCTGGACATCACGACTGGGAAATAGCAGGTACGCGAGAGTGATCAGCTCTCACTTCCCATATAATCAGGTAGCTTCGTTGAACATGGTCCCTGATTGCACGCCAGGTCCCCCTGCTGAGTCCCAAACAGGATGTGACACCATGCACACACACACACAATTGTTGCCACTGTTCAGCCAGGGCAAGTAGCACTCCCAGGGTCAAGTACTTACAATGAACTTGGACCAGCCTCGCAGGCAGCATAGGTAAGGACGAACCATCCCGATGATCATGTCTCCCAGTTGCCGAGAAATAGAGTGAGATTTGATGGGATTTGAAGAGTTCCTTTTCGACACACTGTACCAGAGAATGTATCATATACTGGTTACTGGTGCTGACGTGTTAAGTTTATTGGCAAGCCATGACAAGCCATTTTTGTGCTGGTACGTTTGAACGAATCCGGAGGGACATGTATTATCGAGAGCGGATGGATCTCTGAGCTATGTTGAACTGGAACACACTTCAAGATGACAGTTGATGCTGCACCTGGAACACACTGCACTCGCCAGCTTTGATCCCCAGCAGCGTTGCAAAAGGACGTCACCTGATGGCGTCACGGCGCCCAGGAGACACCGGGGCTACGAGTGTCTCCAGGCGCCCTACTTCGCTGGGGCGCAGCTGGCCCACTTTGCGGAGCAGAATGTCGTGCAGACGATCTTCGGGCCTCCTGGGCTGCTGGGCCCAAAAAAGAGAGCTGGGCGGGGTCAGCAGAGCTTGCCTCCTCTCGAGGCTGTTCATGGCCCATCCATGGGTCACCTTGCTTCAAGCAGAGATGCCCCGCCCCGAACACGTGGGGTCCATGTTCCCGATTTGGCCTTCAGCCCGTGCCACCAAGGCTGCTGTTGTATGGTGCCTTGGCGGAGGGTCCAGCGGGGTTTGGGCTTGGAGATATGGGTGGTCAAGTCTGGGTTTGCGCAGAATGTTCGACTTAAACGTTCGAAGTATGCCTTAAGCAAAGACCGCAGAGGTGGGTCTTAGCATGGATCAGAACATTCACTCGTTCAACTTCAGCCGCTTACAATTAACAGGACTAAGTGTGCCCAGCGTGTTTGTTCAAGGGTTCTTGTTATCTAGAATGTGTACATGATATAAGCATATATATATACTAATATTACCCTAGGGATCCAAGTACCTTCTCAAAGGTGATTGGAGACTATAGGCTTCGAGGGCCCAGTCGTACCTGAGACATGCTTCGAGAAGGCGACTCAGTCGCCTCGGCCGATTTTCGGGGTCGAGTGGTCCCATGTGTATCGCGTCGAGCCCGTTTCAGCCCGTCCGTCGGGTTGACCGAGTCAGTCGGTCGTTGATTCTGTTCAGGTTCAGTGGAGTAAAACCGGTTGCCGTTGAGACGGCGACATCAGCAAACGGTCGATGACGGTCTGTTTGAGTTATTTTTCTTCTCCGGTTGGGAGCCCTTAAGACATGTAAAGGCAAGTGTATAAAGATTCGAGATTTTTTTCATGTGCATAATGCACTATCCCACAGTTGGTGTTGTCAGTGCTGGCAAATTTCATCCGCCGATTCGTTGGCTGAAATATATTCCAACACGTGAACGAAGGCAGAGGAATATATATCTAGAACATTCTAGAACCGGATCAACTTCACAGTGTGATAATGACGACAAGTTCTCACTCCAGGACCAAGAAGGGGCCCCTCAGAAGGGGGGGGGGGCTATCAATAGAAGGCCCTTACAAGTTCCTAGCTCATGTTTTTCATATTTTTGATGTTCCATCACCCTACAGGAGACAGACTAACCGAGTTTGCTGCTCCTGGGCGTAACCCGGCTTTTTCACCCGAGGCGTCAAGAGTTGCGTCATTCACTTGAACTTCGGGCAACAGACGTGCCTTGGCAACAGACGCGGAAATTGTTAGACCCCGTGTGGAAATGCAAAAACTGAAAAGCTCTTGGACAATTGCCTTCAGATTCCATGTGCGTTGCTGCGCGCTACACTTCCAAGACCGCCAATCCATGTCATTTTCTTCTTGGAGTGGGAAGAACAGTGAAAAATCCAGTCAGCCAGTCGCTGAGACTGTGTTTTTGGTTTTCAGTGTTAGCTCTAACTGTTCCTGCTGGGTCCATCTCAAGATCGTTGAGGACACCCATCCTATCGATTTTCCACCCACAGTTTTGACAGTTTTGTTTTCGGTTTGCCTTTAAACAAAGAGTATTTACAGACTATGTCTCCAGGGAGGCGCACTATACGGTATAACTACATATGTGGTCCGACAGCGACGTGAGAGATGTGGAGCTTCAGTGGTGGTGATGAAACAGGTCCGTGTCCAGACATTTGCAGGCCATTAATTTCAATTTCAGCTTCAAGAAAAGTTACTCAACTTAAGGCTTGTGCCATGTGATCACTGTGCACTACTACTACTCCTACTACTACTACTACTACTACTCCTACTCCTACTCCGACTGCTACAACTACTACCACTACTACGACGACTACTACGTAGAGTAGACTAGAGTACTTACAAGCCTATGTTTGCGCCCAACGGGCAACTCACTGTTTCGGCTCGTGCGATGAGCACACATGAACAACCCTGAAACCCACATGTTGCTTTTGTTTGCTCAGCGAGCGGAGCCGGTATGAGCCGGTTGTTTCTTTTGGGCGACCGCCGGAAAGCCGGGAGCCGGTGAGCCGATCAGGTTCGATTGGGTGGATTTGGATAGCGTGCTGCAGAAGTGGCAACTGCCTCCCGGACGCAGGGAGGCTTCGAGGGGTGCCGGATCCACGGTGACGTCCGAGAGCCGGTCATGAAGGAACGATATGGAATGATCGGTTCAAGTGTTGCTCAGGGTAGCTTGGGGTTGCACTCAGTGTTGACTTGGAAGGATCAGGGGATGAGAGCCTGAGGCCTGCTACTTGTCCAGGTTGGTGCTGGGTAAGTTAAACATAATTACTCACGGCCGCACTGCCTATATTGCTTTAATTGCAATATTTGGATTCTATATTTAAGGTGCGTGGTGTAGTAAAGGTGAGCAGCAAACCTCGCATGAGCAGCTAGCTTGCTGTGGAAGGAGGCTCGTTGCCACTCCCAGCGTCGCTCTGAGAACTTTGTTTCGGAGAGTTTGGTGTGCCCCTCCGATCACGGTTCTTCACTCAAAGATCTCAAAGAAGCAACAGAACGGAGCGCCTTCTGCAGTGCTCCCACAGCAGATGGTCTTTTCAAACGCGATTCAATGCTTTGTTGGCACAATGTGTTTCATGGCACTCGTACCTGAAGGCAAACACCTGGGTGGTGGTATGAACAACTGCAAAAACTAAACCGCAGGCACGGTATACATCCAAACAAATGCCAGGTTGCTCCTTCCGATGTCCGGTCATGATCCTTCAACCGAAAACTGGTAGACTTCATGAAGTCCCAAAAACTGAACTGGCGTGGTAGTAGATGATAGACATTGATAGACTTCATGATAGTCCCAAAAACAGATACCTGTTTCGTCAACCTGTTTCGAATCCAATCCGCTGCTTTGAGTTTTTTCGAGGACTTGGGACGAGTTTGTGGATGCCTGCATGCTGGCTGGTACTGAGCAACATGGAACTGCAAGAATTCCTTTTGGGTTCTGTGCCGTTCGAAGGAGTGCAAAAAGCAGCTCGGGAGGTTTTTGGGTTCTGCTTGTTGAGTGGATAGATGATATAGATGGTGATTGTTGCGGATGTTAGATGGCAATGAAAACACGAGTCTGGTTTGAAGCAACAACAGGTTGACAGTCCGGGTCAGAAAGGGGACCATGTGACGCGTGTGACGTGTGTGACGTGGACCAGTACGACAGTTAAACGAATGATCACCACTCATCACACTATCAGACTCGGTTTGGCACAGAAAAGCAATTGAATGTGTGTGCTTCCATTTGAGTGTGAAATAGCTCCAAAGGTTCTGGGGAGAACAGGTACTGCTACTTTGCGTGTGTTTCAGTCGCCCAGGTACTGCTTGACCTATCCATACTTGAACCTGAGCCATTTCCAACCTCAACAGCAGGCTCGCTTCAACTTTGATGCCGCAGTTATTTGGATGCAAAACACCGAGCGCCCCACCATATAGTTTCGGCATGGTGTATTGAATGGTTTGTGGTTTCTGCTTCAAGGTCAACTGAAATGTGGTGCCTTGTGCAGGGATTTTAGTTTATGCTATGGCTGGTTCACGTTTCAGTTGCAAGAGGCTTCTCTCATCATCTCTCATCCATCCACTGAAAAGTGAAGCTTACTGGGAGATACAATGGGGATCCCACTCATGAAAGCTTTGAGAATAACGAACACCCATGGAAACAAATCAGCGTTTTGAATCGAAAGATGAGATTGCTCTATGACATCAGTATATAAGTTCCCGCACTGTTCTTCAGCAGCAGCTATTTGTTTGTGTTCCTGGATGTTTTGGGTGATTCAGGATGTTGTGGGCATTGTTTGGCCCTTCATGTGTGGGTAAATTCTTCGTTCTTTGAAGTTGTTTTCCAATGTTTTCCATGTCATTCCTTTGGGAGATGGAAGTTCCCAAAAAAGCATCCTAGAGCGGTTGGTTTTCCAGCCGGAGCCGTTATCCCAACACACCCGATCGTCGTTCAATTCCAAGAGGGCTGACGTTTTGTGTCACAATATGAGTTGTACATGTTACATGATGTTACAGGTATCATCATGTGTCTAGACTCGCATGTTTGTGGTGAATGGTTTTTCACAGTCGGAGGTAAAGATGTTATAGGCCACCCAACTTGAGTGAATGATTTACTCCCTGGATTGGCTTTGGTCCCCATATCTGAGGTCTACATCATCAAGCAAGCTCCCTTGATCAACTGGATGCAAACCTTCCCCACGGAGGACATGAAGAATGACCATGTGGACGGCTATTGCATTTGCAAGGCCAGGAGCCTTCCAGGTGGACCAGTTGTTTTCCCATGATTTCCCCTCAGATTCGCACGCCAACCCATGTAAACGCGCCAGCCCGGCGGCCACCGGATGGTTTGTGAACTGCAGCGAGAATCAGCCCGTGTGGGGTGGCGGCCGGGGTGGCAACCAGTCCGGGGGCAGTCGTTGGGGCGGGGTAGCCCGGTATAGTTGGTTTGTGTAGCCCGGTATGGCCTGTTTTGGGCCTTTTCCCACAAGTCAACCTCGGACTGTATGTGGATTTGGCCACAAGGCCAAACATGGCCAAACCACTGTGACGTATGACTATATGACCTTTTTATACCTTAACTGTTTGTTGACCAAACACGAGCTTGTTCTTATAAGGCCTTTTTTCCCAACCAAGCTTAGCCAACTTTTATATTTTTTGTCATTTTGTACCCCCAAGGAGTGTAACACACACAAAGACATCCATGCCACAGGCAGAGCAAACATTGAATCCAATTCAGATAGTTCAGCTATCTTCCCATATCCAACTTCAGCAGAGAAAACCACGCACACACGAACCACACGGGCCGCTTCCTTCGTGTATCAAAACCCCTGCATGCCGCATCGATCCGCTCGCATCGGTCCATCTCTTCGCAGGTCTTGGTGCAGAACTCCCCGGTCTACCACCTGGGCGACGTGGCCGTCCGCCCGCTGGGCGCCAAGTCCAACCCCACCGGCGCGCCGCCGCAAGTGCCCTCGGACCGAGCGGGGAAGGGGACGGACACGAGCAGATCAGCTGGGCCGACCGGGGGGAATTGGGTGGGGAACCTCCACCAGAATCCCAGACCAAAAATGGACCAAAATGGTTCACCTGACTCGGTCTTTTGCCGGGAAAGAGGTTAAAACATGTTAAGATATATATATATATATATCTAGTATATATACATATACGTGAGTCACTCTGATGGGAGATGAGGCTTCCATGTCAAGCACTTGTGAAAGGGAACAAATGATTGTGGTGCTACTATGGCTTCTCGTTTGTGAGACCATGTCCCTAGCCATAGCCATTCATAGCCTTTTCTTTTTCGACTTGCATATGCCATTGCATCGACGTCAACATTCCTTTACAGAATGGATGACCTCAAGGCCCATATAATATCATATAATAGTATATAAGTTATCATATTAAAAATGCAATTATAACTTAATTATTAGCCTTTTAAACATATGTACTCCTATTGTCCTTAGGCCAATCAGTTTGTATACTATCCAAAGGGTAATTCACGTTGAGGCCCCTAACTGTGTAAGGACTTCGTGGTGGCAAAAGGTCATGTGTCAACCTCGACGCCTTGAATTGTTGAAAGCCGGTCATGTTGTAATCCTTTGCCTTTGAAGAAACCGAAGCCGGTCATTTCAGATCCGTTTTTAGACTTTAAAAAAAAAAAAAAACGTGTGCTGTTTCATTGTTTGCTTTTTTTGCAGCTTTGGAAGGAACTTGCATCAAGACCATGTATATAAAGATGCAAAAGAAGAATCGGCCGCCACGTCAGGCCATATAGAATCACGGGACCTGACGTCACGTTGCTTGTTTGTCACTCGGGCTCCACCCATCGTGCCCCTACAGCTTAGCAGGCTACAACCCCTACTATCTCCTGTTTAGGTTCATTCAATAGTGATTTCATAGGAATATTTATAACTAACTCACAAGTTTTTGATTATATCATATCACCCTCAATCATTTTGTAAGGTCTCACTCCTTGACATCCATGCATTTTGTAGTGACGGAGATGGGGCCCCCCACCTCCGGGAGCAGTCGGAGCGGTCTAGCATATGAATGGTCTCAGGCATTCGTGAGATTCATAGCGATGGATTCCCGCCAGTTCCAATAGATGTGCATACACCCTTGGACGGCTGGCCAGCCCCCACATTCATGTGTGTCAGAGGGCAACATCGCTGAATGGCAGTTGTTCAGTGCAACATGCCAGAATTTGCTCGCACCTTCGCATTTGTTGCGCATCCGACGAGCGCCCCATCTCCAGGACTTTTCGGCCATTATGGGCAACAAGCCGCTCGGTCTTGGAAGTGCCCCCCACCCCCGGTACCAGTGAATCATAGCTGTGTGGCGTGAATGGGGCCAGTCTGACTGTACCCTCACCGAACCATGAATGTCATTTATTGTTCATAACCATGGAAACCTAAAAGACAAAACACACTGTGCGACAGAAGACTCAATTATAACAACTTTTGACAGGTTTTGAATCAACAATGCTTAAGTGCCGCTGTTTGGAGAGACTGGCGACACTGCAGCAACACAGTACTGTACACTATTGATCACTAACTAGTCACTATTGCATGGATGACAGCAATTTCATGACCATTCCATGCATTTCTGGTCCCCTTACAGCTAAATCATCTCGCATGGTGGACCAAGGGTTACTCGCATTTCTGGTCCCCTTTGGCATTTTGTGTGGACTCGCTGGTTGATGGTATACTGGACATGAATGCCACAGTCTTTTTGGAGCAGGGTGGAGCATCGTGTTCTCTGACCCATTTTCTATCATTGTCTGGCGAAACATGTGTTCGTTCTTATCAAGCTGTGAGTTGGAGCAAAGAAATTTGTCACATGTGCCTTCGGCGAGGCCTCCACACTCTTCTCCACGCCATTTCTGAGGCTGCCTCCCAGCCTGTACTACTTGATGCTGAATGGGATCATCTCGCATAAGCTGCTTGGTGGGCAGTCGCAGAAGTCCAATTCAGACACCAAGCGCAATGGGGGGGCGAACATCTGCGGTCCAGGATTTAGGTCCTTCGATGACAAGCACTCCCCTACTTCAACGGAAGTGGATGGCCCCGTACAGGTCATCCCCAGGTGCCTTTCGTCATGGAAACCCCACGTCCAGGTCGCCCTGGTCCGGGCCATCAGAAGTGAAGCATGGCACAGGGTTCGCCGAAATGTCGGGGACTGTGCCATCCAAGAAGACTCTGAAACATTCTGAAACCACTACTATTGTATATATAGGTTTGCAATATGTTGCATATATTTTGGTCATGGGCTTACGCGCTTTTGTTTTTCTCCCTTGCGCGCTGAAAGCCACATCAAGTGGGACCTGGCATCCGGCATTGGTTTTCAGTAATATAGATGATGTCGTGAAACATAGAATTCAGTAATATAGATTCATCAATATAGATTCCAAAAATGACATATCGTGAACATGTGGTGAACATGTCGTTATCTTTGTCGTATGACAGCGCACAAGGGCCCCAAGCTCAGGTTGCCTCAAGCCTTAGCAAAGGGCGAGTGGACTGACAAGTCGCAGCCCTTGGTGGATACGACGCTTGGAGAGGTCGTTGTGCGCCAGCGACGGATGGAGTTACCCTCCCTCAGACAATGATAGACAAGCATGGAAGCAGATAGAGCAGCCCCCCCTTTAGAGGAGGACTTGTCTTCAAAGGGGTCTATGATCCGCTTCCATGATTGTTTCAGGAAGTGTAAGCCACCTCAAGCATCCATAGACTCCAAGGACTCCAACGACCATAGATAACTGAGCCCATGTTTGCCTCCGTGCTTGACCATGAAGATCAGCTATGGCAGTCAAGCTGAAATGTCTTGCAGACATCGCCCTATCCACAAGATAACGGTGACATTGAGCGACGTGAAAATGGGTTTCAACATTGTCGTTTTTATTTATATCCATGTACTGGTGCAATCCATCAAAATCTTACCGCATGAAGGCCTCCGGCCGTTGCTGGCCCTTGCCTACCGATGTCTCGATAACATAAATATATAGGATGCAATAGTGCAATACATGTATAATCATGTGTATATATATAGGGAACTGATATTTCTCTGGATATTTTGTGGGTGTTCTTTCCGGGATTGTTTTTCGCATTTTTCCCCTACTGCTTTTGCTTTTGCTTGTTGCTTTTTGCTTCTGATTTTGCTTTTGCTTTTGCTTTTTGCTTCTGCTTTTGTTTTTGCTTTTGCTTCTGCATTTGCTTTTTGCTTTTCCTTCTGCTTTGCTTTCGCTTTTGGCTTCTGCCTTTGCTTTTGCTTCTGCTTTTTTGCTTGTGATTCTGCTTTTGCTTTTTGCTTCTGCTGGCGATCTTCTTTGCATTGAAACTGCCACAAAGTTGGATGATAAGACCTTTACTTTGACACCTAATTACACCAATCAAGAAACGAAGCAGCCCAGAGCTGTCTATATTTGATTTGCATTGCGGGGGAGGCGCTGCGCCCTCCCCCGCACCCCCCCCCCGCTTTTTTTAAATAGTTCCCACTACCGTCCACCACCCCTACTATTTCCAATACCTCTATCACTCGGACCACCCCGCTACGAGTCTTACCGACCACAGTTACCACAACTTCTATTTTCTTTGCGTTGAGGCTGCCACAAAGGTGGATTTCTACTTTGCTTAGCCCAAAGAAACCCGAAACCACTGAAACCCAAAGCCAACCGCAAAAGAAGTCCCTATTATAGTTCCTCTCTCCTCTTTCCTCACTCCTACTTCTCCTTCGTTAAGTGGGATGCCTTTTCCGGAAGAACGCCTAAAGAAACCCTAAAGACAAGAAACCGAGCCCAAAGAAACCCGAAACCAGTGAAGCCTAAAGACAACCGCAAAGAAGTCCCTAGTAAGTGGGATACCTCTTCTGTTCCCTCCCTTTGTGACTGTCACGCTGGTTTTGGTGCTTCGTCCCCTGCCCTTCTGCTGCTCCCAGTGCTTGTAAAGCACTCCCAGCAGAAGCAAAAGCGAAAACAGTAGGGGAAAAACATGAAAAAAACCTGAAACAAATTAAATTCTCGGGAAAACATATTCATCCTATAGATAGTTATATAAGAAGCAAGGTAAGGGTGGTACAAAACACTGTACCAGCTGCTTCCTCAAGCGAATTCAATTCTCTCCTCCTCATGATTTCCAAGTAATTAGATTTCCATTTCCATGTGTCCAATACAGCACACTCGAGTCACTAGAGCTCATCGGTGGATCAAGGGAACGTTCGGTCTCTCAATACAGCACGCTTCCACCCTTGTCTCCCTTGTGCGCTCCAAAGAAAACCTGGACGGATCCTCACTCCTTGGGAGACGACGGATCCTTGGCAAGGAGTCAGTTCCGGGAATTGCTGAACGACTTGCAGGAGTATCGGCGGGTCGCTCTAGGCTGGGTCAAGTTCCGACTTGCGCAGGGTTGCACCAGCACCAGGGGAGAAGTCATGAAAGTCAAACAAATAATACTGGAAGTCCTTCTCCCAACACCACCACCTTGAAACACAGCAAGGGCCTTCTGGCCATGTGCCCCTTTGTTAGCTGGTTTCAGAACAGACAAACTTCGGTTGGCAGCATCTATTGACTTTCTATTGACTGTAGACTTGGGACAAATGAAGCTTTGCTTGCTGTCAGATCTCATGGTTTGTCAACCCGATGTGCACTAAAATCACATCCTTTATGTGTGAGCTCCTTTCTCACAAAACCAGGCACGGTGAAGTGATAGGATGGCCTACCCTAAGACTGCACTTGTAGGCCATTCCAATGATGTTTTAGGAATCAGGGTGCCACATCATCAGTTGCTTTTATTGTTTCTTCATGCTGCAACCTTCGACCACGCCCGAGGGCTGATTGCGCAGCATTTGCATCATACCTTCCAGACGAAGCGCATTTTGTGCGTCTTAGATGCAAATCGAAGTCCGGTTTTCACAGCCTTGGATCCGGTAGCATTGAGGTCATAACGTTGTGAGAAAGCACAATTGCTCATCAACAAAACTTGTAGTTTGTTCTTTTTGGTGTAGTGTTGCAGCACTGCAGCATCATGTTCTCCAATGCAGCCACTGCTCGGATTTTCAGGGGGCTGATATGAGAATCAAGGGGTTGGACCGGCGACAAGGGTGTTTGCAGCATCTGGGCGTTCAATATGACTCCCCGGAATCGGACCTCCGTACCCCGTTTGGTCCGGTCAGTCTACGACTCGGATCGCCCTTCTCGGCAGTGGTCGGAGATGGGAGTGGATTTGTTCCCTACACGCAAACATATTGGAGACAATTGATTCATAAAATCCCTTCTACCAGACCAGCATGTGTTGTTTTTTTGTGTCCAGTTTCTTATGATTCCTTGTGATTTGTTTGATTCATCAACAGTCGACACGCAGAACTGGCTATCACGGACACTTACAGTAGATTGAACCTACTACTACCACTGCTGCTTCTTCTTCTTCGACGACGACTACTAGGACTACGACGACTACTACTACTAATAACATTAGTAATTTAGTAATACTAATATCTACTGCGACTACTACCACTACCACTACCGCTACTACTACCACTACTACTACCACCACCACCACGACTACTACTACTACGACGACGACTACTACTATTACTACTACTGCTGCTACTACCACTACACAGCAGATCATTGCTAGAACCAATCCAGGTTATATAGTATATACCCGTTGTGTTGACACCCTCAAAAGTACCAGTAGGGGTGCCCTGAGCCTTCCTATCACCTGCTTGTTCCCAAGGCAAAGCGTACTGGGAGCCCAACAGTATCCGCCAAGCCCACAGCAGCTTGGCTGTGACTGACAAGGGGACACTTACAACATGCCCATGTTCAAGGACTGGCGGTCTGACATGACTCGACATGAGCGTGTATGTTTGTTGCCTCTGTTTTGCGTGCAGCTTGCCACTTAGCCCTATCGGCCCCATCGCTTCGTCCAAATCCCTTGACCCGCCCCCTGTGCTCCATGCCCTCCTGACCGGGCTATGCCGGAGCCGTTCTGCCCGTCGGTTCTGCGCGTCTTGTTCTTTGAGGCACAGATCCGAAGCGCCTCAGATGCAAGGAGAACGAGACATGGCTTTGGCAGATCTTTGGCACTTTTGGTGTTCATGGCTTTGCTGATTTTTGACATCAAATCCATCCGAAAGTCACAAAAAGCCATGGCTTCGTAATTTTTGGCAGCTTCTCGTGGAAAATGAGGACCCCCTAGGATCAGAGTCCTAGGATCTTATAGGTATATATGTTCAGGGGATTGCTGACCTCCCTCACAGCATTAGCCATCCTGTTTGGAGGAGCTGCAGCCTGCAGCTGCCTAATTGCTGGCCACACTCTGAGGCTCCCTGCAGAGGCCCGTGTGATCACCCCTGAGATCTCCCAGGGCCTCCGATGGAAGATCAACGGGCCGGCCGTGAAAGCGGAGATGCAGCGACAAGGTGCACAGAAGTGCGACGCACGCGGCGCAGAACGCCTGCTATTCTTTGTGATGTTGTAGATCAGGGAGGCACAAAGAACATCAAAGAACCTGTATGTGCTTGTTGGCCTAAATATGGTAATTCTAGTGTTCGTTCTCCCGCATCAACAGATGTGTTTCGTTTAATGTTTCTATTCATTTGGTCTTTGTTTCGCGGCTAATGCCCTTGACCGATGAAGGCCCTTGCGGATCACCCCGGGCAGACTAGATGGGCTTCGTCACGCTATGAGGATCGACATGAGGGACACGAGTCACCGCCTACTCGTGTGGGTGATGACATGCTGCGACTTCTTCGCGACGTCTGTAAACGATGCGATTTCGCCCCACGATTCGAGCGATTCTAGCCTATAGATGGCTATAGCCGAGAGAGGCCTGGGTTGGCGAGACGGTCGAGACATGAGAAGAGTGGCCCTTCCCTTCCTCTCCTGGCAAAAAGAGATCTGCAGGTGTCAGCAAGGTTGACTTCAAATTTTGCAGCTTGGCAGTTGAGGAGGTCAGGTTGGGGTACAGTGCAGGCAACTTTTTGAGGGGACCATGACCATGAACATTCCACAAAAGTGGATGGTTTCGACGGGTTACTTTCCAAGCGCCAGGGAGGTTCAGGCTTTACTCTTTGATAAGGGTTCTGGTTTGCCTTAAATTGCTGCTTAAGCTTGTTCCTGTGTGTCACGTCATCATCAGCATCACCAGCATCAGTTCTCAAGATTCCCATTTCTTACCCTGTTTGAAACAAGTTTATCTATATCTTCTTTGGGCCCAAGAGCTTTACACAAAGCCTCCAGGTGACCCTGCCGGTCGGGGCTCCAGGGCCTGGTCCAGGGCTCGTTGGTCCGTTCGAGGCCTGCAATGGCACTCCTATGAGTTCGAACGCGACGGGCCCTTGATGAAGGGACTCACCGATGCACAGCCATGTACCTTCGACTCGGCCGCTCGGAGGGGACGGATGGACGGATTGAGGTGGAGGCGAAAACGTGATGTCCGTGCGGGTGTGGTGCTTGAATCAAGGTATCACTGCTTGAATCAAATGAACATCTCCGAGGTACCACTTATTAATTAAGAGTCCGCTCTCAATGAATTGGACAGGGGTCCGAAGTGGTTGTTCGCCATGTGCTTGGGAGCAATTTGCTTGGGCTCGGGAGATTCTTGTTCGACGGACTCGGATGAAGTTCAGAGTGAGCAAGTTCTGAAGGACACGACTTGAGGTGCTTGTTCATCACAGTCGGGCTGCATTTCCTGCGAGACTGACCCTGCTTTGTCAACACGTTTGTCCTTCTCCGAAGGTGTTTGGATGGCCTTAGCTCAGGGCTTATGATTTTGGGGCTCACCATGGCTCGCCAACCGGACCGCATGGCTTCCACTATGGCGTCCCGATGACCATCAACCGGACACCACGCCGCTGACGGTCGGGCCGAGGACCTGCATTCCCTCAGCGCTTTGGTGCACTTCATGGTTCTAGAAAAGCTGGACCTCATCTCCCAGGAGGCCTGCGCAGCCTCCGGGTGCCCGCTGGATGGGTGAAGCAGTTTCGGCATGTTTCGGCCAGTTCTGCGATTGCGGCACGGCCGGGCAATCGGACCGAAAACGAAATCATAGCTCTCCACATCCATTCCATACTGTTCTAGATCCTAGATTGATGCCCAATACCAATCACTAAAGAGACAGCCAAGAACATGTTCGTGCACGTGGACACTCAACAATCTTAACGGGTTTGTTTGTTGTTTATGTAATTTAGCCTATTTGGCAGTTACAGTGGGTTCAGAGTAGATGGCACAATCCCCAAAAGGTGGTGTATATGGACTGTATATAAAAGACATCTTGGGGTTTGTGCCATCTAAGTGGCCCCTCCTACAGCTCGGGAGGATGGAAACGCCACAGTCCTCAGTGATCTCCTGACGCTCGCCTGCATCAAACGGAAGCTCCAACGGATCTCAGGGTGTTATGCGATGCGCACGGTGGAAGAGTCCAGAACTTGTAGCGAAACACTTCTGTCCTCATCATATGCTGACTTTGTGTATTCATCATACTGGCTTCGTTGACCATGTAAGATTCAAGTCAATAAAACATATGGGTTGGAGGTCTATGCTAGAGGAAGTCGAGCCGCCATTTTGGCTGGGTCATTTTTGTAGCATGGGGGGGGATGATGCACATGATGGGCAGGTTCGCACAGGTTCGAGCTGAAAAGAATTCCGACGTATCTGGGTACACTTCTGCTCACCCCTTCCTGCTGGCCTTGTCCCAAGCTAACTGACATTATATAAGGCTTAAGCCCTTTCCCGTTCGCAGCCGGTTCTGACTGAGGAAGGAGACGCCGTCGAATTTGACCGAGCCTTGCCTGACCGCGCTGGAGTTGATGAAGTCACTGGGCATCGATAGATGATCCAATTCTCAAGGAGCGATCAGGTATATAATCAGGCATTGAAGCCTTTGTAGCCTTTGTCAAACAGATACTTGCCAGAGGCGCCTCTTTTTCTGAACCTTTATGGATGGGTATAATGACATAGGATGAATAGGACATTGCAATTAAGGATGTCCCATGACAACTGAGACTCTTCCCATGCCTAAGTGGAACTCCAATTGCCATGCCCTGTTGCCCATGGAGGCTCAGGTTAGGATGGCCGGGTCCTGTGATAGCTATGGGAGCAGCAGTGAGGGTGGTTCACCTTCATCCACTGATGCAAGTTCCTCTGATGGTGAGGGCTTGAGGAACTACAATGAGGCCAAAGCTCAGCTGCTCCCCAGCAGCAAAGAGAGTGAGAGAGAGAGAGAGAAAGAAAGAGATCGAGACCTTTGAATGGTTAAACTTGATGGTATCCTGCCTTCCTCAATAGCTTTATCCCAATGGCCTTCATCCATGTACTCTTTTTTCTTGCAAGGCATGACAACGTGCTGCCTGCTCCGCGCCTATCGAACCGTCAAAGGCAGCATCTTTCAGGTTGGGGCCATGATATGATCCGACGAGCTGGTTTGAGAGGCTTGGCAAGTAAACCCAACGTGCGTGGCGTTGAAGAACTGTCCCCATTAAAAGCGAAACCATTCACACAGTTCACAGTCTCGACCCCAATCCTGAGGAGTCCAACGGGTTGTGGAGATGCTTCCAGTCCCCTTCACCCTGATGTCTGATTGTAACTTGGCCGGCTGATCGTATATGATTCCCACCCAACACGCACAACTTACAACATCTATGATTGGACTGTTCGAGGTAGTGGTGCTGAAGCTGTTGTTTGGGCCCTTCATGAACTCGTGGGACATGCCAAGGCTGGGTTCATCTATTTGCATCCTTTGTTCAACCCAGGAACCATCAATCAGTTTAAAGTGTTTTTACAAACCTGTCCCCTAAAGGTCTCTGTGATCGCAGCCACTGATAGAGCGCTGGCTCCTCTCAAGTTCATTTTGGCAAACTCCCGTCCAAAGACGCCGCTTGAACGGTTTCAAGCATGATCGCAGAATGCTTCTTTGAGATGTCTTGGCAACAGCTGGTTGTGATTGTCATCTTCTTAGTTCTTTGGATTTTTTGAGGCTCTTCACAGACATGAGCGAGAGGAATCTCGACAATCTAGATCCAATGCTGTACTGCTGCGGGTTTCCGTGCACCCCGCTTCTGGGTTGCAGATTGAAGTATTCAACTTACCATCGCCAAGCCACCAACAAGTGCATCATCAGCGGCGCTACAGGTACAGCAGACTACGCCGAGATTCAAAGCTTCTGGATGAGCCTGCTGCCGAACCCTTCTTTGACACTTTGGAAGCTTTGGAGAGGACAGGAACTAGGAAGGTGAGGGTCAACTAGGAATGTCAACTCTTTCAAAGTATGGTGAGCGTCCATCACTTGTCTGTCACGATCCATTTGCTTGGCAGAACCAAACCACTTCTGGGTGTCCTTGAGAATGTCTACGGCGTCATGTCTGTCCGGGAGGAGGCCACGCTTCAGATTGAATACTGTATTAGACTTGACAAGTGTTTCTTATAAGTTCATTTGGGTTCCTAATCTTCTTTGGCCGCTTTGATGCTAGCACCCCTCTCAGATGTGGAACGCCATGAGCAAGATCCGCAAGAGCTACCTGGTGGCGTTTGTCCGAGTTAATCAAGTGCATCTTGGAGACCCAGTGATGAGAAGGAGGATCTACATAGTGTTGGTGAGGAGGCCATACTAACTAACAAGTGAATCCCTGAAATCCCCTGACCACTCAGTGTGTGCACTTCCCAAACCCTGCGATCCCCTTCGTAGAGTTCATTGTGCCAGGGATGTGGCCCTGAAGAACTTGGAGAAGCACTCTGATTTGGAGGCGCACTGCGAAGCGACATATCAGAGGCTCATTCAAAACCGACCTGACCCACCTTCTTTGTCACTGGGTTGGGCAATTAATTGAGTGCAGTTGACAGAAACCAAAGTTTCATTTTCTCCTCATGATGTATATGCGCGCAATCCAAAAGGTCTGAGCTCTTGCTTTCGGAGAAGGATCCGTATGTGAGGGCCTTTCGGAATAACTTCAAGGAGGCCAAAAGATCCAAGAACATGGAAGAATATGATTTGACCAAAAGGTTCTTCAGTTGCAACTGGTTCTTTGATGCCTGAGCATTCAAAGCCCGCATCAACACTTGAACTCCTTCCCAATGGCTTTGAGGCCCAGGCGGACCAATCCCAAGTGGCTCAAGAAGCATTGGGAGCACATGAAAACCTTGGAGGCGGGGAGATGTGGGGAGAGCTTTCGTGAATCAACACACACCCAAATTTGATACCTGTCTACGCGGAAGGTGAACCCAAAGAATCTAGTCTGCTGTGAGCAAGCTCGACAGTTCTTTAGCACCCAGCGGACTTTGCATGTAGCTCGGACTGGTGCATCTTGATACAGGGCAGGGGTCATGCTCTGTCTCAAGCTGAGGCAATCGATTGCTTCACTACAGCTGGGCGGGGTGGCGTCATCAATGTCTCTCAGCAGATCGACCGGATGGCCAATTCTAACGACGCTGTCATGGGATGCATTACCCCTAAGGGGTCTTATTGGCACATGGAGAACCTGGGCGAGTGGCGCACCTTGTCGTGGTGCTCAGGCTTAGGGACTCGACTGCATTAGTGTAGAAACTCGAACTCCAGCAGAACTACAGAAAAAGGGCGCTGACGCGCTGCTTCGTGCACAGTGACGCTAGAACAGTCCAGTCCTGACCAACTACATACCCTTTTGGGTGTTCGCTCTCATGGCGGTGCATACACATGGCCAAGGGACATCCTTCACTTTGATCCGAAGTATCCGCGTGTCATGTACTTGGAGTTTTTAAGCTGCGAGCGACGTAGAGCCACACACACTCTTCGCGGCCCCCATACTTCAGGTGCTTCGCCTTCGAGGTTGCAAAGTGAGGTTTCAGGCTGTATCTCGAGGTGTTGGTGGCCTCCACTTCGGTGGTTGTCACTGCCTCGCCGATACGTGGGAGGTCGCTCCGGGCAGTTTTTTGGGTGGACTGCCGGGTAAAGATACGTTGCTTAATGTCATTTTTGAGGTTTTTGCTGACTTCACACCCCTGTGTCTCCACATGGCATCTGTTCACATACCGTACCTTTGGCTTTTAGCTACATGCCCTCGTATCTGGCCGACCTGATGGTCCGGGGAATCAGTAAACGCAAACTTCGTCGTAAACGTAGGGCCCGTAAGTTGGCCATCTATCGACGACTCAAAAATCGGCTTCACCTCAAGTCTGGTACACACAGACGCCAACGTAGTCAATGGAAGCTTGGCTTATGGAACGTTCGCCGTTGGGGAAGTAACAACGTGCCGTATGATCCGTACTCCAAAACCTGCTGCCTACTGCGACTGGCTGCCCGTCGTCAATGGAACGCTTGCCTTTTCACCGATGTGACGTTCTCTTCTGATGTCAGCCTTCAGATCGAAGTCGACGCCAGACCTTGGCATCTTGAACTTGCAGGCAAAGTGGCTATCGCCCTTGACCCTTCTATGCTGGCTTCGTGGCAGGCCGGCGGCTGTCACCGAATTCGCCCTCGAGCCCAATCTGAACGAGTTTTTGCCCTCCACATTCCCAGACAAGGACACCGTGTAGGCCTCGCGCTGGTCGTAGCTTATGCCCCTGTCAGTAGCGCCCCCGCAGCAGAAAGGAACGCGTTCCTCACTCAGCTCTCCGAAGTTCGTAGTAAGATCCCAGCCGGCGACCTGACCATCATCGGAGGGGATTTCAATGCTGAGATACATCATGCTCTTCACGGCCAACATCCTTCAATCCTGGGCCCCTGGGGCAGCACCCGTACCAGCCCTAGTGGCCACCGTCTGCTTGAATGGTGTACTCGCGAGCACATGACACTAGTGGACACCAAGTTCTCCCAACCACACGCCAAGCGATGCACCTGGTGGCACCCAGCGCGCTCCACAGGCCACATCCTCGATCATGTCCTAACACCAGCGCATCAGCTCCGCTACTTTGACAACGTCAAAACGGTGCATGAAGGCCGCCGAGGCAACGCTGGCACTCCTCTTCGCCGGGTCGATCCTCAGCATGTTGCTCCATCTGATCGGCTGTATTGGGACGACTTCACGGACCACCTCCCGGTGGAAATCAAGTTCCACTACTGGCCCCGGTTCGCCCCTCGTCCGACTGATCCGGTGACGACCCCACGTCCACAGGTTAACCGCCTGGCTCTCCCCGGCGTACAAAGCCACATCCTTCAACAACACTGGCATCGACCATTGGACCAAGCCCTCCACGCTGCCGGTGCACATCAGCAACAACTGAGCTGGGATACTCTCTCCTCCCTCTGTCTGCACACATCCACAGCCGTCCTAGGTCTCCAACACAAAATCAGTAAGCGTCCCCATCTCGTCGGCCATGAAATCGAGAACGCACAATTGGACATAGCTGTTCATGATGCACACGCATACCTGCGAACTTTTGACCATGACATGTTACCACGAGATGCAGCACGCCAACACATGTATGATGATGCCAAACACGCATACCGACAAGCTGGACACCATCGACGTCAGACACGCTTGCGTTGGAAATGGACCTGGTTGGACTCTCTTACGGATGAACTAATCACTGCGCAACAACAAGGGGATTCTCGGTCAGTTTTTGCTATCCATAAGATATTAGGCCTCCGGGACCACTACTTAAAACGCAGCCCACATACACACACTGTCCCCAACCCCGAAGCAGAACGCGAAGCCTGGAAACTTCATTTTCAACAACTGCAAGCCGGCCGCGAACACGCAGCCGCACATGTTTGGAACAATGTCGCCCGCGGTAACCCGGCCGGCCCCGCATTAAGCACCCCCCCGAGTGATGAAGAATTAGCTGCCTGTGCCAAACATATGAAAAACGGTAAAGCAGCGGGGTCCGATGGTTTCCTAGCTG